ATGGGATGATGAAGGTGTCTTTGTTGCTCTTGAATTTTTTTTCAACAGACGAATACAATTGAAGGTGTACTTATAGAGGGTTGTAGAGAATTTGACGGGCTATCCGAATCTCTATTTACTTTGTCAAAACGAACAATTTATAGTGATAATATATGGAAAATACCAAGTCTAGTTATTTTTGGCCAGAGGGATATATCCTAAAAATTATTTAAAAAAACTATGTTCCAGTTTTCGGGCAGCATACACAGTGATGACTGTGTCACATTTATGACAAGTTTGAACGAAACTGGCTCTAGTCTAAATGGGTGTCAGGACTATATTTCAAATGCATTGGTAGAAGTGAATTGCTTAGTTCGATGTTTTCAGTGCATGTGCACACTATTCGTTTCAATTGCTTGAGATAATCGATAATGAGATCTTTCGGGATAAAAACCGATCAAAATTGTCTACTTTGATATATTTTATGATCAGTTTGACACACGAAGTCAAAAAAGAAAAAAGTCGCCTACTCACATGTTGCTGTGTAACCAGAGGGAGACCGGGAAAGCTTAGACCCTAGAAAAACTCGAGGCTCACTTATGAGGGAAGTACCCCAACTGATAAATCGATTTTTGAATGAAACCTAGTGGACTATAGATAGTCGACGATGCTGATTCCGTATATCACCAAGACTGCTGCTGCTAGGCCTTCAAAGACCGGTTTTCTGGAAAACCAGTTAGTCTAAAGAACAACGAAAAGCTTTCTTAATGAGGCGTAATTGTAGTCCATACATTTCTGATTAAAATCAGACATCTCCCACCTCTACATGACCATTCTTTGCAAAGTTATAGAATTTACAAGAACAAATCCTAAATTCATTTTTCGTTTTTCTTTCTGTAGCTCTGAGGTGACAATGAACATTTAGGGCTTGTTCTTGTAAATTCTATAACTTTGCAAAGAATGGTCATGCAGAGGTGGGAGATGTCTCATTTTAATCAGAAATGTATGGACTACAATTACGCCTAATTAAAAAAGCTTTTCGTTGTTCTTTAGACTAACTAGTTTTTCAGAAAACCGGTCTTTGAAGGCCTAGCAGCAGCAGTCATGGTGATATTCGGGATCAGCATCGTCGACAACCTATAGTCCACTAGGTTTCATTCAAAAATCGATTTATCAGTTGGGGTACTTCCCTCGTTAGAAAAGGTTTTCAGCATACCATATACGCTGTAATACAAAAGTCTGCTTTTTATTGCGCGTAAATGCTACATACATGTCATAGCCCTCAAAAAATTAGAAAGCAAAGAAATACATGCTGTGAAATACCAAATCAAAGCTTATTTCTTTCTGTTCTCTCTTTTTCTTACTTATGTTCTTTTTTTTTCTTGTTGTTATTATTGCCACATTATTCAACTTCAACATGTAATGAGCTAGCTCGATTAGTTGGAAAATAAAAAAAAAGTTTAGATTAAATCAAACACTGTATGACGCACAGATTGATAGTCAGCACTTGTCATTATATACAGGTAAAGAGAAAGAGATAAAAGTCCGTCGGTCATTTTTTCTTGTTATAATAATACACAAAGCAAAATAATCGAAAAATCGCGCGCTCTGTTTCTCAACCATGAAATTATATTGTTTCGATTGATTTTTAACAAGTCTTACAACTCACAAAAAATTTTCTTTGCACAGTATCACTCCTACGCATAAGCTGTTAATAACAAAGACAAAAACGGATTATTGAAACTGTTTCAGAGATTTCTATTCCTTTGAACCATCGCACTATTACTAGTACAATAGTGCGTACACTGATGGTGGAAATTACTTTTCGCCTAATGATACTTTGCTAAAAGCCATAACAGTGTACATTGGATGCTTTTCTTTTAATTTCGTGTTGGTTATGTTATGATATTGGTTTATACGATGATTATTTAACAAATCCAAAACAATAGTGGGTATGTGTATCATTTTATTATTTCTATTCATCTCTTCAATGTCTTACCTTTTTGATTTCTCTTAGATGCCTGAGGCATTTGGATATTGGATTAATTTTCTCTTCTTCATTGTGATTATGTTTATATTGCATTTACCATTACAAACAAATCCAAAAGGTTACGTTTGTTTAATAAATGAAAATACGTCAAATAATAATAATAATAGTATCGGTGAAACGTTATAGAAATAATAAACGATGTTCTCTACGTACAAATTAATACTCTTTTTTTTACCTATAGAACAAAAGAAGGTTTGTTTGCTTTTGAAAGATAATGCTTGTATTTTAGAAATAAATATGTGGAAAATATTTGAACGTGAATGGTTTTTAGAGAATGGCATTTGTATTGAAAAGAAAAAGAACGCTATTGGGTTGGTTGGAAAAGAACTGACAAAAATGAGTTTGTTGTTAATAAGAGTTGTTGTCACCACAAAATAATAGATATTTTAAGAAATAATACAAATCTATCAAAAACGACGAAAAATTATTTTGATAAAGACCAATGTGAAGCGTAAGAGGACTGCGGTTCTGTTATATCAAAATTGTTTTCGTCATAATACAACCAATCTCGACGAAAAGGATGGGGTCCTGTAGAAATCGGGATGGGGTTCTGTAGAAATCGGCCCCTTCTTAAAATGTTTTAATTTCGATGTAGATCGATAGAAAGTTCTATTCTATGTAGCTTTCGGAGTTTCGAAATGCATTTGTTGCAAAAAGAAATTATAATAAATTCCCAACGTTTTTAATGCTGAATTCGCATTAATAATTTATTTTCTAATAGGAAATGGGAATGAAACTAATTTTTAAATATACCCATCGGTAGAGCTCGATGAGGTGATCTAGACTATGTGCGAAGGAATGTTTGAAAGTAAAAATAACCGTTACTTTTTATCACAAAAATACTTTCGATCTAACTTTTTAGGGCTATCTGTCACGGTATTTCGCTTTTCTCTCTACCATTCAAGCTCTAATCACCAACCATTTCTAGTATAATGAGTATAAAATGCAATGCGTGCAACCTAAATATGGTCTCGTTTTCTTTTTATTTTACCCGTTAATGATCTAAGTGGAAAAGTAAAAGGTATGAATTCACGTGTATACTTGTCTGAAAAGTTAAAATTCGTCCGTTCGTCGGAGAGAAAATAAAAACTTTTTTGTTATTATTGGTCGCATAGCGAAAATTTTTATTCTTAAAGAACCCAAAAAACATTTTCTGGGGGTTTCGTAAGAATAAAAATTTTTAAGATTCGAACAGTTGATTAGTAACTGAAACGGAAACATTTTCAACACAGACAGTTTAGACAAGTAGACTGTGTCATTAGTACCAGAGTGTATTTGACGTACTATTTTTATCAACGAGATGTTGCTTCAATTAACTGAAGATTTTACTTTGATGATCTCTGCGAAGAGGATATCACTCCCCCCCCAAAGTTGACTTCCGATGTATGGCCCTGGAAGCCGGCTCTACTCTTTGTACATCATGGTTCAAATATAGCATCGAATTTTCTGAAAGTCCTAGAACTGATACATGATGATGTTCTGTGGGAGTTCCAAAAACAATGGGAATATAGGATATTGGGTTATAAATTTCAATAATTGCTTATATTATCTATACATTTATTTTTAGCCAAACGTTTCGGCTAAACAACAATAAATTAAAGATGGAGAATCAGTGCGCTCCTTTGATTGCAAAATGGGTTGAAAAAGAATCGGGGAAGTATTTGACTATCAATTAAACATCGTGGATCAAATGAATGATCCTAAACCTCACAATCTAAGACCACGCAATCAAATAAATTATACAGTTTAAAGTTATGGACAATATTATTGAAATTTATAAACCGAATCATAATCCGTACGCAGCATGAATTCCAGATATAAGATATTGACTAGACGGAGCCTCATAGTAATGTTTGTTTCCAATATAAATTTCAAAATTCCTGTGAAAACTTACACTGTAATAAAAAAAAATAGTACGTCAAATACACTCCGGTATTAATGACACAGTCTACTTGTCTAAACTGTCTGTGCTGAAAATGTTCCCGTTTCAGTTACTAATCAGCTGTTCGAATCTTACACAATTCAAAACAGAAAATAAATGTTTGTTTATTAATCACAGTTCTCTGTTCATTAACACAACGTTGAAAAAAAACACCTTTTAACATGGAACAATCAGTGTAACTCAAACTAACTTAAGCACTAGTTTATTAGTTTATAACTAACGCACCATAGTTTATTCATTTTATGATGAGTTTTGAAGATGTTACATAATTTTTTCTGGAACCTCATATTCTACAGAATAACATTTTCCCGAAGAAAGGTGAAGAGAAAAAACCATATTATGAGAAAAACGCAAAAGAAGTTTTGGAAGTGTAATTCAAGACTTTTTCTACGGTAAAATGGTGTAAAAAAAAGTTTTGAGTAATTTCACGTAGGTCATCGATTAGAAGGAATTGAGTGAACGCATTCAAAGGCGTATGACGAAAACTTTTATTTATTCCATATGGTTATGTCGTGATCACCATGAAATCAATAAGGACTGCATCTATAATCCTTCTTCACATATATATGTGTTATCACTCCTTTTGTTGATTTTGTTCTCTAGGTTAGATTCGTTCGTTCTTGTTCTCATCTTTCTCTTGTTCATCTAGTCGAGATACTGTCTTTGTTTATTTCTACTCACGTATAAAATAAACGCGATATACATCTCTCATCACTTCTTGTATTGAACGGCAATACGTGTAATAACTCATAGTTTTTGTCGTAAAAATAAACGTTTCAATGGGTAAAAGTAGTATTTGTCACAAAACGGAAAGTAGAAGATCTATTATCAAACAAATTCGGTCGGAAAATCTAAACAGGAAGCGTGGTTATTCATCATCATCAGACATCAACAAAGAATCAACGAATTCAGTACAAAATCAGTTCACATCAAGCATAGAAAATATTGAAGATGGTATGGATTTTTATTTAATTATTCATCTAAATTCTTTAATCTCATTGCTACAACAGTTTTTATGTTCTGAACGCAACAATTTATGGGATGAATCTGTATCTATTAAAGAACAAAATGGATTGTACATGCAACTTGAATTTAAATGTCATAGTTGTGGATTTCTCACTCGTTTATGTTCATCACCACAAGTACCAAATAGTAGACGTCACGATATAAATGTTCGATTAGCGATTGGTGGTACTTTATGTGGTTTAGGTCGTAATGGATTAATGAAATTACTAGGTGCTTTAAGTCTACCACCACCAGTGCAGGAACAAAAGTATCGTGAAGCACAAGAACTTATTTTAAATTCTGTGGAAAACGCTCAAGAACAATCAACGATAGCTGCCGTTGAAGAAGCAGTCGTTGAAGCTGGTGGTGTACGAAATTTAACAATAAGTGGAGACGGTGTGTAGCATGAGGGTGAGTTTTAAAAAACCATTTCACTACTACGCTTAGGTATTCCTAGGATATTTTGCTAATATCTACAGATATCTGAATCCCGTTTATTTCACTAATATCCTGTGTATTTTACTAAAATCTCATGAACTGTCAATATCTAAATTTATTTGTTAATATCTCATGTATTCACTAAAATCTCATGTATTTTAAGTTACTAATATCTCGTGTGTTTTGTCAATATCTATTTTGCGAGATATCAGGCATCCCTCACATTCCGAGGAATTGGAAGTCACTCTTATGTATTTAGGCAACTGGGATCTTACAGTGGTCTCTATATGTGTTATTTGATGTGCTAACAAAATGGAGGATGTATTTCGTTGATGATGTTGTTGTGGACAGAAACGAAAAGTAACGGATGTTACAGAAAGAATAGCGTAGCTTTATTTTCTGTTTTTCTCCTCTCCCTTTGAACTCACAAAGCTCATCTTATTACCGAACACATTCCGTATTCATTTTTCTACAAAACGGTGTATAGAAGATGACCCTAAGCTTTGAGACGCGGTCTCAATTGAAGAAACATCGAAATGTCCGAAAAACTTCAAAAATTTAACACAAAAAAGTGTATTTCGCCAGTATGAAGTTGAACGCATGCGTTGTCTACAGCAGGTAGGCCAAAATGTAGCCCATCATAGTCTCTACCAATTAGCTGTAATGTGGATTTTCTGTTATTATTTGTGTTTTCAGTAATGATTTTTGGAAAAGCCCTGTAACAGTTTTTTCAGCTTTTTCAACCTGCATTTTGGGGTTATTTGTAGAATGAATATTGCTCGGACAAAATTAAAGCAATCAGGCTCATTCTTGAGTCATTTTGAAGACAAATGTTTGGTCTGCTCGACTCACGTGTCATTGTCTGATGTTGTTATTAATGAAAATTTGAGTAACATTAGTACTTGTTATCTTCTTCATAAATTTGTGTCAAAGTGAATGTTAAACAAATAGACTACTCACCTGTGAACATGACTTCGATATATTGGGGCAGGAACATCTGTATTGATGACCTGTGTCGCGTATATGAACAAGATGAACCCTTGTATTATCTAACGATAAATACTTTTGATTCTTCATCGAATTTCACTCGCGTTTGATCGATTAATAATTTCGCTTTTGTTGCCACAGTTAACGATGTTTATACAGCTGGTGAGTACGACATCGTTATCGTGGGTGTTAATGTTGATGTCATACATGTTGATAATTTCAGATGACGAAGCTTGATTATAATTGGGATTGCCATTTTCCTTCATGACATCCAGAAATGTAGATGCTGCTGCTTGAACGACGATTTCTGTTGTTCTTGTACGTGGTTTTGACAGTTTTTTCATTTTCGTTAAAATATCATCAGGATTGTAGGAAGCAACTAGGGATAGTAGTGACGACTAATACGAATTCGGCGCCGTTCGACAGTCAGTTTTTGACACTGTCGGATTTCTCACTCGAACTTCGACAGTATCGAAAATTTTCAAACAGACTAGAAATTAGACAGATTTTTCGTTCCCATACTAGAGAAGCGAAAGCGTAAACACGTAGAGACGTAGACAATCCCTACGCCTTTACGTCACCATTTCACTATGTCCACATGGAAAAAACCCTCAATAGTCTCCAGGGCTTAGTCGATGGACATTGAACGTGGTCTGGTGACTCACTTTCATGCCCACCTCTGCCCATCCACCTTACCCTCTTACGTCATTATTTTGTATCTTTTTGAAATTTTTCAATGGAAATTCGGCAGGCTTTCGACACTGTCGAATTTCGAGCAAAAAATTTTCGACAGACTAAAAATTCGACAGCGTCGACGTGTTTTGACTCGAAATTCGTCACTGTCGAAAACGGTTTCTGTCAAACTGCGAAATTACCATCTAATACTAAAAACATTTTATCGATTGTTTTTCGCCTGTGTAATAGCTCAAATGTTGATAAAATTTGACGACAATTTAAGAAAAGAAATTAATTGACTCGATTGGCGATTGGTTGAATTTAGTTTTGGGTCGAACCAGAGCACTAGACGATCAGAATATCTCAAAAGGATTTTTGCCTGTCACTTTTAAAAAAGTTAATTTGCAAACAACCAGAGTATCAGGGAACCAGAGGATCAGACAGCCAGAGAATCTCACAAATATTTTTGCCTGGTTTTCTTTTGTGACAGTTAACTTGCGGACTACCAGAGCACCAGACGAACAGATAATGTAAGAAACAATTTTTTCGTTTTTTTTCTGAAAATTAACCCGTAGACAACCAATACGGCTTTCCGTAACTTCAGTTTTTTGGACGCAACAGCACCTGACGACAGTATGTATTTAGACCTGTATGTATATATGTATATCTATTTCATTTGTGGGATTATAGCTAGTATCCCATCGAGAGGACGAAAAATCATACTTGTTGAAGTTTTTCTAAAGTCGAAATTTTTTCGACTGTGCAGAACTTTTTGCAAGTTATAATCTTGCAACCTATGAGAATAAGAAGCAATTACTAGAGCAAAATGATTAATTTTGATTAATAACCAATAAAATATATCCTAATGAATATTTCTCGCAAAAGAAGGTGATGAAGTTTTCTTTCATTGCGAATAAAGTATTTATTTTATTTTATTTTAAGTACGTATGTAAGAACGAAAACAAGACAATGAGGCACAAATTGGTATAAAAGGGCAGTCTACCATCACCTGTCATATCGAAATCGATTTACAAAATGCATCTCTCCCTCGCTTGTACTCTATCTTGCCTTCTGGCTGTTGCCACGTCATGGACACTGGACTACCCCGAAGCCAAACAAGATCCGGCTAATGCTGCCAATTTTCAGTACGGTCGTCAGGGTGAAATCAAAGGTCTCGTTCTCCATGGCACTGCCGGATCAAATACGGTTGAATGGTTCAAAAATCCGGAGGCATAAGTCTCAGCTCACTATGTCATTGAACAAGACAGAAGTGTGATTAAAATGGTCAGCGAAGACGACACAGCTTGCATACCGGAGTGGTAACTCCCGATTCTGAGTTTGGTAATGGTCCCAATTCCAATTCATGACTGATTGGGATTGAATTTACTCGAGGCACTGAGATTCGAATGATATGCCTGAGGCACCTGTGAAATCCGGGTTGAGATTAGTCAAAGACGTGAAACGAAGATATGGAACCGGGTTTAATGTATATACACATGATCAATTTGAGACTACGAGAGTGTGTCCAGGACCGAAATTCCCGTCGATCGATTCAGACTAGCGGTCAGCGGCAGAAAACGACATCTGGCAGTGTTTCATCGTCGAAGACCAACAAGAATTTTTAGCTTTATTCTCTTGTTGTTTTGAATATGTAAAACGAGAAGAATAAATAAGTTAAAACAAGGATTTGATTACCCCTGTCATTTTTATTGGTAGACATTTTTAGGGGTTAAGGCAGAAGACAAAACAGTCCAGAATAGCGATTCTTGCGTCCATCGGGTATATAATATAATATAATTGATGATAAAGGCCACTGGTAATAAACAGACGGAGTAGACAATGCCTAATTGCCTAAATGCCTAATTTAAACGAAAATCTTTTACTAGAAACGACCTGACTTGAAAATATTGTCAAGTGCCATCACGGTCACGAAAACAAATCTCGCAAGTTATCTGAAACTTGACTTGGCTGAGGCATTCTTGATTTGGCTTGCCTGGCTATGAACCAAGCGTATGACTTCTAACAGAAAAAACTAGATAAGTTTTGCAAGTTTATTCGCGCGTTTTCGACTGTCTCTCAGCATAAGGTTTCATTTTGGGCACGTTGTATATGATCAAGTTCGAAATAACATTTCTTGGGTCAGTTTCGTGAGCTGAACTAGGAAAAAAAGTTATAGCGCTTGGCTAGTAACAGGAAAAAAGTATTAGATGTTTTCACAACCTAACGCTTTTTTGAAATTCTAGACCCTTACGGTATTTTGAAAATTTCTTCGTCAAAATCCAATGTTTTTAAACCAAAATCCAGCTATTCTTGACTAGCTCGTCGGGCTCTATCGAATCATGTACAATATACTCACAATTAGAATAGTGCTTAACCTTCGAATTGGGCGTGCCTTATGATAAACAGCAACAGATTTTGGAATTTTTTTCTTCGAAACGTCCGATGAGTACAGAAGTGTTACTTTTAATGGTAAAATAAAAACTTTCATAGCTTTTAAACTGAAATCGAAAAATTCGAGATACCGGTGGGGATTTTTGACTTTTTGCCTGTTTTACGCTCGTTTTCTTTTATAATCTCGAATTCCCGAGGTCCC